CTCTTTATAAATCTAACAGTTTGTTATCAGCACTTCAACCCAATCTAAATAAGACTAATGAACATATGTTTCTCTAACCCTCGTTATTATTTAAGTCTATAGGTTATGAAAATCTTTGTCTTGCTTTCCGTCTGTCTACAGTGTTTGTTTTTTATGCCGGGTGAGTGAACGTCAGCTAAATTTTCTCAACCTGTAGTTTAGGGTGCTAGGCTTGTGCCTAATTGTCGTGAATAAACTATATTAAACTGAATTTAAGCTTATGTATAACGAACAGCTTGTCCCAAAAACTTCCCTTAACTTTTAATTCAAGAAGGCACATCAAAGTTTTTCTAGCATCGGGCATGGTCTAACGATTTATGTCACTGTTACAATATCTCTTGGTTACTCGCGTTACCCGAAGTTTATCACTTGTAAGAAGAGATCTACACTCAGTCCTAATTTTATAATTATAATCTTATTTTTAATATTTTCAGGCATGCCGTGGTGAGAATTTGGAGAAGCCTGTATTGTACTCAGATTTTGCACCCATGTCACGCGAATTAAATCTTATAGCAATGCCTGCTGAGGAGCAGCCCACAATCATAACCTATGCCATTCCAAACACAGCTGATATGTGTGTCATGTATTCGACATTTGAGAGTGAGTTCACTAGAACTAAATGCATTCATCCATTTAATGCTCTTCCATTTCAGAATATTTCTCCTTCCGTAATGTCGAAAACGGTTCCTGGTTCATACAAAGTCTGTGCGCTGTCCTAAACGAAGCCAGAACAAATGAAGCAGCCACAGCACAAGGAGCTGAACTCTTACGTCTGCTCACAGCCGTAAACCGGAAGGTGGCCTACGAGTACCAGTCCTTCGCCAAGAACGAAGCTCTCAACCAAATGAAGGAAATGCCCAACTTTCTGTCCACTTTAACGAAACTATTTTACCTGAAGGTGAAACGTAAAACCTAACGCGGCGAGAAGTGACTCATGTGAATTGCCCACAACACACAAAGAAAAAAACAAAAATTAACAATTCTTTCGACTTAACTGAAATTGTTTTGTATTTATTAGAGAAATAATAATAATGTATCTTTTATATTTTTAATTGCAAGCAATCGTTTGTGTTTCGTTGTTTATTGGCCGTCTTATCAGCGCGTTTCATGAATTCCCTTTGCATTGATAAGCTCCGCTGTGTTCGATTTTGATTTTGATAAGAAACGCCAAACCAAAATTAGATATTTTTACTTGCTTTGTGGTAAATGAGTTAATGAATTCATGTGTTAATTTGCGTTTAACTAATTTTTTCATAATCAAACAAAAAATAACTACAAGTACACACGAAACGCACCACACACTTCTTCAGGTCTTCAGGTGTTCAGGTGTTCAGGTCTTCATGCCGTCATGCACTTTATGATTGCTTTGGTTTTATGGCTTTTAATGGCAGCACTTAATTGTGCGTTTGAATAATTCGAAATTGACCCTTCCTCTGCTCCATTTCATCATGACTCCATTTCTCCACTTACAAACACTAGTCGCTCTGCGGGTTGAGCGACTCTGCGCTCCAAAAAAACACATGCACGAGGGCGTAGATGAATGATGACTCAATCTGTTCATTTGGCCGCACTTAAATTCGTTTAATAATTAATCATGCACTCGGCTTATTACGACATGCAGTCCACGGCATGACACGGTCTGCAACAATTTCATTTCCCATTGTCCTGGCACTGTCACTGGCACTGGCACAGAACTCTGATGTCCTGACAGCACTAGAGCGTAGGTCAGCAATGTCACCGGCCAAAAGTCAAATATGCGTCATTTTTTGTGTTTTATGAAATTTAATATCTTTTTTACTAGTTTGAATCTTTGATTTTTATTAATCAATTACTTCAGCAGACGTCAAATACTGCCAAATGCTCAACATATTCGTACCACTACATGTTTAATAAGTGGAATTTATATTCGGGTTCGCAAAAGAGTACAGATTCACAACAGGACAAAAATTGAATATAAGGAATGCAGTTATTACGAAAATTAATTATTACTAAAAGAAGAATATTAATTTAATTTATAATTTAAAAGAGTTCCGAGAGATGGAAAAAGCTTGAAAACACATTTTTACCATTTGTAGTTTCTCCAGTTGCAATTGAAAGAAGAGTTATCGAGTTACTCAATATATTCTAATAGTAGATACATATTTAAATTGTTGTATAAATATGTGTGACAAACTCAAGAAAACATATTGCATATACGTCGACTACGTTCAGTTCGATGGCGTTAACACCTCTCTTACTCTTGCTTAGTACTAATAAAAGTGATTAGGTATAGACTAGTTTATTATTATTACTTATAATGTAACAGTTCTTTGTGAACCTTTCTTCTACCGTTTTTCTAGAACCAACAGGGTTAGTGGTTAATCGGCGATAATTGTTTTGAACCATGATTGGTTAGTTTGCCTCACATAACTAACATTTATGTACCATTTTAATACCACATTACACTCAAGAAAAGATAAACTAGACCCATCCAGTTGAGTTTATATAGAGTTTAACAGATCTTTCGTTCTTACTTTTGAGTAGTTTGACAGACTATCGCAAAAGCACGATTTGATCTTTTTACGAAACCTGGGCAGCCAGTCAAAAATTGTGTGATAGTCTCTTCTTCGTCCAAATTTCTGCAAATTTTACAATGAATGTTTTCGTTGTGTGCAATGAAGGCGTATTTTCTCTGTTTGGGCTCACGCACAGTAGTGATCTTAAAGAATTAAAATTAGCTTAACAGTATGGACTCAGTTTCTGTTAGTCTCTGTTAGACTTGGTGTAATTGTATAAAGGTCAGATCGTTTGAGATATGTGACATATTGTGAATGACACAATAAGGCCAATAAGAGATGCACCTCTCTTAGTGTGATCTCTGGAATCTCATAGAAACACCAAGACGTTATGAGGAAATAAATATAATTATATATCTATAATCGACTGAAAATAATTAACTGTGATTCTCCTTTTGGATACAACTTTGTATAACTTTTAATATACATGGATTTTATGATGCGTTTTATATCTATAGCTATTTATATATCAAATTAATTGCAATAGAGTAAACTTATTTTACATTATTATGAATTTTACTTTTCTAACTTAGATAAAACACAGAATTATTAAAAAACTTAACTAAAAAGAAATAAATAATGAATTACTTGTCCTTAGCTTTGAATCAACCTCACTGACTCAATATCGATAAAAATGTTTTTACAGTTTTAAAGACACTAAATGAAATGCCTGCGCTAGCGTCATTATTATAGTATCTTCTCAACTGTAATTGGGTTTGTCTTCTTTAGGTGGTTGTCTTTGATATTGGAATATAATAGCACAGTGCCACTGCATTAATGCGGAAAACATTATAAGTACATTTGAAATAATCATGGGTTGCCAAGACAAATTTTTAATGTTAAGTAATTTGAATGACATGGATTTAACAGATATATGTTAACAAGAACTTACTTTAGTATATATATATAAAAGTTTTTTTTTAATTTTCTTTACTAATTTACTATAAGATTAATGCCAATTGCTGTCGACTCCTCTTGTTTGATAACATATTTAGTTTGTAGTTTGGGGAACGAACAATTGTTTTGTTAAAATCAAAAAGACAAAATGCTTGGAAGTAATCTTCGTACTAAAAAATCACCGAGTAGATATATGAAGCTGCTTCTCACATGGGTACTTACATTACCGACATCATAAATAATCAGACTTTGCTCTCCAACTAGATTCTTTGAAATGACATAATTTCTCAGGACTTTATATAGACAAACATATTTTGTTATATACATCAATAAGAACAAAAAAAGCCACCGTACAGAGATATCTTTTCCTTTCAAATTTGGTATTATATAGGACATGAAAACAAATACAACCTATTTACAATGATGTAAAGTAAGCCGAGAGTTCATTTTTGTAACTTAGTCATGGCTTAGAGTAAAATATAATAAAGTATAAAGGGGCTTTCAGTGGGGCAGCGCAATGTAATGATAACAGATCCTTTATGCTAATCAAATAATCATACCATAGATCAGAAACTGTTTCTTGCTGAGAAGTTCTAAATATCTAATAGGACTATAACCTTCAATGGATTAATGGCTATTCTCTTCTTGGCTCGTTTAAAACCAGAAAGACCTAAAGTATATAGCTCCACGATGATATTCTCTCATCAAAAACAGATTCATGCGTCTTGTTGAAATGGAAGCGGCAAGTACGATGACTCTACCTAGATATCAAGCTAAAAATTTGAGTTTTACCAAAGTAAAGAATTGTTTTATAATTATAGACATAAATCAGTTCTTTATAATGACAGATACATCTTTATATTCTACTTCTCTGTATCTTCCTCAATTTCGTTTTAAGAAGATACACTGTTATTTGGCATTAATTTTTATGGATCAGTGACTCGTCACGTCCGCTACGACTTTTACTACTTCAGTCCTACACAGGATGATTCTCGTTTTCTGTAGACTGTAGTTGGAAGGAGTTAATCTGTATTTTTTGCAACAGACTATGATCTATCATTCAAATACTTCTAATTTTGGAGAATGAATTTGAATACATTTTCGACATCATATATATATTATATGTGTATACTTAACATTATGAAGTTACGTGTTATTATGAAGCGATGTTATTAGTATTTTAATTGCATTTTGTGTAAAAAGTTTTCATCCTTTTTTGATAATGAAGACCTTTTTATAGTACTTTATATTTATGGTATGGCAAAACACGTCCATGTTATTCTTCATTTGAATTATCATCTATGGATGATATTAAAGATTTTTCAAGATATTTGATGAAAGTTGTTTCCATTTTAAGTCAATAACCCTGACAATGGCTGGCATTCCACTTCGTCATCACAGCAAAAATTTCTTAAATATTCTGCCTCATCCATTTCAATAAATGGCAAATGGCATTCAAAAAAGGAAACCAGCAAACTTCAGCCACTGATGTAAACAACGTTTATGGGTCAAGAAGCTAAAATGTGACCTCTTCGAGTTGACTTGAAGATGAAAGCAGTAGTCAACTGCAATAAACTGTACATCGTCGGTGTAAATAATTTACGGGTCATATACGAGCTATCCGATGCAGTCAAGTACAATAAATGCCAGCTGCATAGATTGGTGCTGCAAGTGAGCAATCACGGCAGCAATCACGGCACTGCCAGCAACAACTGCAGTAACTTGAACTTGTTGCGGGCTCAATAAGCGAGCCCATTTATGTACGGCACGAGTTGGCTGTTTGGAGTGTTTCATTCAGGAAGGCAAATGCCATTGAAGGCTGCGTATTGCCCATGGCACAATGCACTTTCAACATCACCAACAAACGCGAACCATCCAACCACCACATCACCAAACCAACAAGCCCCTGAAATCGTTTAAGCGTCTTAAATGTAATTTAGTACGAGCCACATTTGCATTGCGGCAGAAAAAATATTGGCTCAAAAGTAATTTAATAATTAAGTTTCCAATTTAAAGACTCCTGCTTTGACCGCATTTTCCTGATCTATACATGTTTGGCCACTTTTATTCGAAAACAGAAGAAGAAAATGAGCTGGGAAAGTTGTTTAGCGGTACACATAATTCACATTTGTGTTATGTAAAATGTATCTGTGGCTCGCCTGCCTGACGCGAATGCAATCGACGAAATTCGAAGTATCTGCGTATTTTTAGTATTGACAGATTTCGTGCAACGCGTTGGTTGCACTTCACCAATCGCAACGCAAACGAAAACTTCTGCTCAGGCACTCATTAGAATAAAACCTGAACTGGTGTCTGCCACTGCACCGTTAGTGGCTTCAAAGTATCTACGAATTACATTTTGTCTTCATAAAATAATCTTTTTATGCCCGTGTTTTACAACTTCTTCTTCTTTCTTAGCCGAATGCGTCTTTTCCAAGCCAAGCTTTTCCATTTTAAACTGCTTTCCTGCACAACTCGAATGGCAACATTTTCTTAGAATGTGCTTAGAATGTTGCAGAATCTCACTGTTTTTATTGTTGTTGTTGTTGTAGTCGTTGGTATTGTTGTTA